CTAGTTTACAATTAGCTAGTGCAGGACCGGCATGGACTGTCTTGCAATCACTGACGCCAGTTAGTGTTTGCCATGCCAGTTGTGCTCCAGCGTTGTGTATGACTGTTTCTGGCCTAATGTAAACCAGGTGTTAGGTTATTTTGTGCCGTTCTTTTTCCAATATAAATGTAAATACTTTTTTATTTCAGTATCAACGTGGTATCGCCACTATTCCGAAGTCATTAACAAAGAGTCGTATTTTAGAAAATGCCTCCATTTTTGATTTCGAATTAGACGAGAAAGATGTCGCTGAGATAGCGAAGTTCGACAACGGATATCGCACTGACGTCCCGTCATTTTGGCAGGAATATGAAAATTATCCGTTTGACAAGATCCCGGAGCCAGAAAAAGAAATACCTTTGTCTCTTCTAAAGTGGAAAAATGGCGCGAATCTTGACATTGATTGAATTGTTTATGCTTTTTGTCAAAGTTTTATTTTGAGTTTGTTATGAATAAATGGATTTAAATGTTTTTTAATAGCAAAAATTATTTTAAACATAAACTATTTTAGTTGCAGGCGCTTAACAATATTCGTGTAAAAATATTAAACAACAAACTAATAAATACTAGAAGCAAAAGTCTTATTTAGGAACAAGTAATTTATTGTATTGACACCGCAAATAAATGCTTTCAAATTAAAATATATAAATAAGTTAAAAATGCAAAAAACATTTTCATAATTGTCCGAGTTGGAACAACGATGGCTCGGCTTTAAATAAATAATTATTATATCTAAATTTTGTCGTATACACAATATTAAGGGCCTTTGGATAAGATATAAATGTAAGTAAAAATAATATTTATCATGAAAATATGTTAATTTTAATATAAATAACATATTATTACTATTACTAGGACACCTGGGCACACACCTTTCACTAATCAATCGCACAACTGATGTTCGATTGTCAATTGTTCCGTAGCCAATTCAACTATTTAGTTGCACAACTAAAAATCGAGTAGTGCGTACACTACCTCCATATAAGGCCATAATAATTTAATATTCAAAGCGAGACTAAACAGTTGTCCGAGAATTTACACCAAACATAACTTTCAAATAGTAACTAGTTCTATTTTTTATTAGAGAATTCGCTATTTAGAATTCAGCGTAGGTATGTTTTATAGATTTATTTGTCAACAATAAAACGAAGCGAAATGTTTGCCATATACAAACAACTCTACCTGAATTAAAATAAATTGAAAACATATTCGACCTTCATAATTATTACGACAACCGATACATATGTAATAATTTTTGTAAATAATAAAAATGGTATTTTTGAAAATAGACATTGTTATTGATATTCTTACTATTTATAAACAGTATTTGATATTTGCACATATTTTGTCCTTATTAAGGGTAATTTCATGCACATGGCAACACTGAATGTTTGATTTCCTTTTACTTCTCAAGATCATAACCTTAGTGTACAAACTAGCAGTGTGACGACTGTTACTATGATGTTATTTCTGTTCATATTAACAATGGTGTATACTGTGGTAATTATTTTTCGATAATTTATCTGTACTATTTGGTGCGTGCGTCTTTCTGTTCACGTAATTAAAATCTATGCGTTATTAATTCGAATATATATTTCTCATCTAGATCTGTTAAGTGTTTTTAAGTAACATTTATAATATTACTAGCTTTCGCACAAGAATCCGTCCGCGTGGAATTAAAAAAAACACAAAAGTGAGCCTATGTGTTCTTCCAGACTATCGCCTACATCTATACAACATCGAGATCCTTTCAGCATTTTAGGCTACATACTCTAACAATCTAGCATTCATAAAAACTTCCGCATTTCTAATATTAGTATGATTCTATTTATGCATGGTTCACTAGACAGTATAGTTGAATTATCGCAGACCAGACATGGACTGCATTCATTGACCTCACAATGCCAGTCCAGTTATTGCTGCCAGTCACTGGACTGTAAAATACTCACTGAACTAACTGGTGCGCTAATATCCAACTGTGCACCAGGTATTATATTATTCGATACGATATTCTAAACGCATATCTGCGAAAGTTTAATATCTCTTGCGAGAATAAAGTTTGTTACACAGTGTAAAAATAGATAGTATTCATAGCAAAGGGTTGATCAGTTTTCAAATAATTCATAGCAGTGTAATAAAAGAATTCGTCTTCTTATTTTTTTTAATTAAATACTAGTTTGACAATCATTTTTCTAGTTCTGCGACAGCAACGACGGCGGGAAAGCTCCGAGAATTCTTCTAAATGATGGTAACACCATGCCTGTTTTTGGTCTCGGGACATTTCTAGGATTTGATGAGGTAATTGTAGAATTTTAAAATCATCACCAATGGTACAATTATATAAATAATATTGTTATATTAATGGTTTAATATCAGATTAATCAGTTAGTTAATTATTTATTTCTTAAAACAAATTTTTATTACATTGTTATTTTTTGTCAAACTTACAGAACGGACAAAAACAAGTAAAAGAGAGCGAAGTGGAACTTCCAGTGACGTGGGCTTTAAACTCTGGATACAGGTGCTATTATTTACGATATAACATATAATAATATAGTAAAAAAACTTAACACCGTAGTCTTTAGACAATTATACCATCAACGGCGAATCCAGGTGGGGGTCATGGGGGTAATGCCTCCCCCCCTGAGAAGGTTGGTTAAGAGCTTGACATACAATATCTTACTAATATTATAAATGCGAATGTTTAGATGGATGGATGGATGCATGTTTGTTAGCGTTTGTAGCCTAAACGGCTGAACGGATCTCCATGAAATTTGGCACAGGTTTAGAGCATACTCTGGAAGAACACATAGGCTACTTTTTATTCCGGGAATAGTAACGGTTCCCGTGGGATTCATTAATTTAGTTTTAAAGGTTCCTCGATCATTCTGCAACGGTTCAACATATCTTATTGAAATTTGGCACAAATATAAAACAAAGTCTGTAGTACACATGGGATAAGCTTCATCCCCGAGAAATGTCCGGTTCCCGAGGGATAGTTCGTATGTTTTCTAATAACACGCGGACGAAGTCGCGAGCAATAGCTCGTATTACATATTTTGTCAAGCTCTTGATTTGACCACGACTATGTGACCCTCCCCTGGCGCCAAAGCTGGATCCGCCCTTGTATACCATAGAGATAAACAGTGTTATCTAAGAACGAGCACATCTTTGACAATCACACAACTGTTGTGCGATTGTCGATTGTTTCGCAGCCAATTCAACTGTTTAGTTGTACAAGTCGAGTAGTTTGCACCTCTTTATAAGCTTATAGGAATCATAGCGCGACTAAACAGTGCGATTGTTAAGTGTGTGCGCGCTCTAAAAATGACATAACATCGTAGAAAAACTGTCAAAGCAATGATAATGTCGTCAGCTGAACTAACTAGAGTCAGCTACCTTTAGTGTGTATTTGAAGTAATTTTTACGTATATTTTACAGGTTAATTGACACAGCATCGTTATATTTCAACGAGGAGCAAGTCGGCCGTGGAATACAAAAGTCATCTGTCACGAGAGAAAATGTTTTTGTCGTCACTAAGGTAAGCATAAGATATAAATTCGTCGGACAAAAATCACATGAAAAGTGTAAGTGATCAAAAGTAGCAAATTACCGCAAAATATATAACAATTAAATTCATTCTTATTTTGAATATATCGCTTGAGGACAAGTATAAATAAAATTGTTTAGAGCGGGCGCTCGCCTTTGCCAACTGTCGCACAACTGTTATGCGATTGTCAATTGTTTCGCAGCCTTCAACTGTTTACTTGAAATCGAATAGTCTACGCTCCATATCTTACTTCTTACTATCTTACTAATATTATAAATGCGAAAGTTTAGATGGATGGATGTTTGTTAGCGTTTGTAGCCTAAACGGCTGAACGGATCTCCATGAAATTTGGCACAGGTTTAGAACATAGTCTGGAAAAACACATAGGCTACTTTTTATCCCGGGAATAGTTACGGTTCCCGTGGGATTCATTAATTTAGTTTTTTAATGTTTACTCCATCATTCTGCAATGGTTCGACATATCTTATTGAAATTTGTCACAGATATAAAACAAAGTCTGGAGTACACATGGGATAAGCTTCATCCCCGAGAAATGTCCGGTTCCCGAGGGATACGTAGCTTTTTGTAATTTATATAGTTTGTATGTTTTCTAGCATGCGGACGAAGTCGCGGGCAACAGCTCGTAAGCTCATAAAGAACTAATCGAGACTAAATAGTTATGCCATAGTTTAGTCAAAGGTGCGCGTGCTTTTAGGATTGTCTTTTTTAATTGTTTTCTTTTTTATTTCCAGCTTGGATTAAACGAACAGCGCCATGTGTTGGATTCGCTGCGAGCCTCGTTAGCTCGCCTCAATACGTCCTATGTTGACCTCTATCTTATTCATAACCCGGTAGCCCTCAAGGTAAACTTTAAACCTACAAGAATCATATGGTAGTTGGCTATTTGGTGAACTAATCTTGAAAGCGTATTTTGACCAATGAAGGAACGGTAACTGCACGTGGGAATGTCGCCATTTTTATAATTTCGAATTTCCACTAAAAATATCACATATGCTTATTTAACATTTAGTTTTATTCGCTAATATTAGGGCAAGTTACCTTGCTATTACTAGTTATTGGTAATTCTGGACAAAAAAGTATATTGTCTACCTCGTCTTTGCTTGCATAAACTTAAACATGTATTAATTTGTGTATCAATTTAAATAGTAAACAATTACTACTGGCAATTAAGTGATAAATTGCAAATCATTAACATATACTTTGGTTTTGTTTTCAACATGGGAGAATTCCGAAAGATGGGAATTTTTTGCTTACTGGTAACTCTAATAACTGGCAGCCTCCTGTCAATGTCAAAAAAACTGCCATAAGATCCTAGGTGTATAGTTCTACTACTTACTTTTAGGCAATTAATATCAATGTAATAATATAAATAAAATTTAACATTTAGGCCACTACCTCCCGCCAGAATGGCGCGCTATTCTACGTCTGAATGACATTGACAGCTGTCATAGGGACGAGACGTCTATCCGATGTAGTGTTACTTTCTTGTTTATATATGTTTTGAAATAATGTAAGAAGTGATGGTTTTATATTTGTGTTCTGCTTCCAGGCCGACCACAGCGGTTTCGATGTTGTAGACTACGTGGACACGTGGCGCAGTATGGAGGAGGCCAAGGCGCTGGGACTCGCCAAGTCGATCGGCATCTCAAACTTTAATATCAGTCAGATCACCCGCTTGCTTGACAACTGTCACGTTAAACCCGCCGTCTTGCAAGTTGAGGTATACTGTGCTCTCCAAAATGGCGGATAATCTATCTATATTTATTTTCCAATATAATAAAAAGTAAATTCACGCTTCTATCTCGGCAATCACGGCTTATTTCTGAATGATTACATTTTTAATACAAAAACCTACATTTACGACAAGCTATAGGCTATATACTTCATGTAAATTCGAAAAATCAGATATACTAGAAAGAGACAAAAACCACAAACCAATAGCAACACACAAAATAATTTTTGGGTGTCTGTAGAAAAAAATGCGGCAGACAACTGTCATTCAATAGCAAACAATTAAGTGTCGAAGCTGTTATAAAATTTGAATCTTAATATACCTCAGTGTTACCAGAAGTGTAATATTTCAGGTGAATTTAAACTTAGCCCAGGACAAATTAATAGAATACGCTAAAAAGGAGAACATAGCTGTTATGGCGTATACGCCTTTTGGAGGGCTGTTCAGCAAGAGTCGGGGACCACCACCGCCACGCAAGGACCACCCCGCTCTGGTCAAACTGGCCAATAAGTACAACAAGACCACGCCGCAAATTGTGTTACGTTATCTCGTGAGTACGATTATTATGAATTAAACACTGAAAGATAATCTTTTTTATAAAAATACTAGCTTTCGCCTGCGACTCCGTCCGCGTAGAATTAAAAAAAACAAAAGCCGCAGAATTTTACTTTCGATTTAGATACACTTAATTACACTACAATTAATTATATTATTACCATGCAATGACTTTAACACTATCTCTATACTTTTAGTACGAAATTAGTTTGTTTTTTTTTTCAGGTCCAGAGAGGCGTCATTCCAATTCCTAAGACAGTTCACAAGGAAAGAATAGAAGAAAATATTGATATATTTAATTTTGAACTAACGCCCGAAGAGATGAAGTTATTAGGTAAGCGTTAAATTCGAATACTAGTGAAACATTAAAAAAAGACATTTCAAAAGCACCTTCATAGTGTTAAGAAATCAGCGCATCACTAAATCATTGCCATGCACGTGCCGTCCCTATGACATCTGTCAATATCAATCAGAAGTATTAGAATAAGCGCGCCATTGTGGCGGGAATCGTCGAGTCTAATCGTAATAAGAACGCGCGCACACTTTTGACTAAACTAACGCACAATTGTTTAACCTCGCTTTGATTCCTATGAGCGTATGTAAACGAAACTACTCTTTTTTTAGTTGTGCAACTAAACAGTTGAATTGGCTGCGAAACAATAGACAATCGCGCGACAATTGTGTTATTGTTTAGTAAAATTTCGCGCCAGCTGTTTGTAAC